TTTTTTTTTTTTTTTTTTTTTTTACTTTGGTTTTAGACACCTTTTCCTAATGGTACCATAAGGCAAGCTAACCTGTGCCTGTAGGTTCACAGGGACAGAGTTTTGAACTCTTAGGAGGAGGTCGAATAGGAAAAGGACTGTTAAAACTTTCTCTATGCTTTGAAAATTTACCTCCTAGCATTCTGGAAAATTATTTCTTCTGTGTGGAGAGGACAAGAAAGAAGGAAGTAATTAACTGAGAAAAGATGTTCCTTAAATAAAAAATCAGAAAACAATGCAAGTAGAGATGTAAATTACTTAATTCAGAGCATTTATAGGTGATTTGGTGTAGTTCAGGAGCTTTAATCCTTAAAACCTATTTCTTGTATGTTGTTTCAAGGTAACTAATTGTCTTATCAGTAAACAGTAAATGACAAGGCAAGTACTATTTTACAAATGGAAATCTGAGAGTTTTCACTRGCCATCATTTTCCAAAGGAGAATGCTGGTAATTTCTGGACAGACTGTTCAAAGAAATATAATTTTTATAAAGTTTTTTATTTTAAATACTATTTCAAAATATTCTACATTTCTCATGTCCTTATGGGTTTGTTTGTTTGGAGTTATTTTTTATGTGTGACTGAGCCTAAAATTTTCAATTTTTCCAACAGCGAAAGAGAAGATAACCACTACTGACCCCAGTTATAGTCAAGATTGTACAGACTTACTTATTCATATATGCTGAATTATTTGGTCTGTAATAACAATACATATATTTATAAAATTCTTCTTTTCTACCTCTCTGAAGCTACACACTGACCAAGATAAAGGAGATGGAAATTTAAAATACATATTAACAGGAGATGGGGCTGGCAGTCTGTTCATTATAGATGAAAATACAGGAGATATTCATGCTGCAAAGAAATTGGACAGAGAAGAAAAGTCCCTGTAYGTGCTACGTGCCAAGGCTATAGACAGAAAAACTGGAAGACAAGTGGAGCCAGAGTCTGAATTTATCATTAAAATCCATGATATCAATGACAATGAACCGAAATTCACCAAGGAYATGTACACCGCCAGCATTCCGGAGATGTCTGGAGTTGGTAGGTAAAAACTTCTCCTTATGTAAAGTATGAACARGTTTGAGCTGATTTGGAACTTGCAAGTAATTTATTATTTGAGGTACTTGCTACCAGCTTCTCTGAATATCCATGGAACAGTTTCTGTTGCCAGCAATGTTTCATAAATAATTGGTTTTTGCTTTCATTCATTTATTTCATCTTTATCCACTTTTTAATCCTTTTTCCATGCTGTAAGCTACTCTTTACTCTTTTAAGCCCAGTGGAACCATCAAGGAATGCAGCATGCATGGTTGTCTCATCAGTTACTACATAGTTTTGTCACAGTTGAGAATATCACTTGCATAAAGTACATCGTCTTTGTATTTTAACGTCTAATTTGCCAAAACTCTCTGTACCTTTAGACACAAACAACTTTAAGCATGTAAGTATATAAATAAATTAACATATCAAAATGATGCAAAATATGTTCCTGCAAATCATTTTTCTCTTTTTGTTATCAGTAGTGATAGTTCTTGTTGATGTGGTTTTTCTAATATGAACTTGTTTATTTAGTTGTGGACTTTTTCATACCAAATATATGAACACTGTTCCTAAACAATTTGTTTCAAAAATATTTGCCTTTTTGAGTAAAAACTTACACCCATTTATAACTRCTACAATGAAATGTAAGAATGTGGAGTTACAGTAAAGGTAAGAAATATAGCATAGCAGGAAAATAATTCTCTGAGTTTTGTTCAAATATATAAAATGATAGAAAATATTCACCAGCACACATTCATCAGAACTTATCATGATTACCTAAGTGCTCCACTTTCTTACAGCAGAGACAGTTTCTCTCATAAATAAGCATAAAATCCATAGACTGTGGGTAACAACTAACAGATAAATTCTCAAGCGTTATTTACTTCTGATGATTTACTGTAATGRTTTGCAAAATCAGCCCTGGATGATGGCATTACTAAGAGAGACAATAAAATACCCATTGAACCTTGTGATTAATATGCATCTTCACAAAATAATTTCCAGAAGCTAATATCTCTGAGAAGTAGAACAGAGTAAGAATTTATTCTATAAATGTGATAGTGTAAAATATTAGTTTTTACTTCTTTTATAAAAGAAAATATTTTATGACRCACCTATAAAATATTTTGTAATTATAAAATAATATTTTGTAAGCCTGAGAAGGAAACAAATACACTACTATGTGCAACACAAAGATGGATGCTTCTTTAAAAGATACATGGAAAATAGAGAAACCCTTTCCATTCAGAATTTGCTTTGCTGATAATCACTGAAAGAAAAATGTTGGCAGTGCAGCTGTCATATTTAATTTGAAATATATTTGTAAGGAAGGAGCTCTGTGGGARTAGATAGGAAAAAAGGTATGATGTCCATGTTTAACCTTATCACTTAGTCCAACTTTATAAGAGTCAATGGAGACACATGAATAAAAGAGAAATGCATAAGATCCAGTGCTTTGGCAGTGCCTGAGAAATATTAAGTCTATGAAATGTTCATATTTGATGAGGAGGATGATAGCATAAGTACCATGATGTACTTTAAGCTGAGGAAATGGGCATAAAAGACATAAGTAAAGGTGAGTTTTGCTTTCAAGACAAGTGCATATCTTTCTCCTTGAGATAAAGGATATAAACAGTAAAAAATGTCCTTTGGCTTCCAAAATGAAGGCAAAAGAAGGGATCTCAGTTCCTCTTTCCTCTGTTTAGTTGACATTTAGTTGGCGTTAGGAATATAAAATCCACTGGAATGGGAATTTTTAGCATTTGAATTTGAATGAATAAAAGTAGTTTTGTAGGGGGTTTTTTTGTTGTTGTTGTTTGTTTGGTTTTTTGTTTGTTTTTTAAACTGGAATAGAATTAGGACCCAAATCCAGTCCATTCTGGAAACAGATATTCTATATTTCTCAAGTCAGTCATAAGAATGGTAATTCAAGAGTCAGGATGTACATACAGATGCAAAAAAGATTATGAACATATATAGATTCCTTCTTGGAGTCCTTTTGTACTATTCTTCCAGATGAGAAACTGGTTGCCCTAATTGCAAAAAAAACAACTTAAACAGAAGCTCAAAGTCTAAAGTTGTTAAGGCAGAAGGCCCAAACCTTTTAGTTTGTTCTGWGCTGTAGAATTTAAAATGTGTGAGCGCCCTGCAGGAAAGACGACCCAAGACTCTGAGAGGCAGGTCTAGGTTCTTCTTTATTAGTCTTCCGATCTCAGCTCTAGTGATTTTCAGCTCTACCCTCTACTAGCTACCARCAYGCTTTATATATGSTTTTCTTATCTCCCCGCTTCCCAAGTACACCAATCTCATAGGTCCCAGCCAGATGACACAGCCAGGCACTCTCCAATGTCCATGTAGCATGTTCTAGTCTGTGATTGGTRAATAGTTTCATCTGTCCAATYCYGTCCATCTCTGTGGCTGGCTGCGTCACCCAGACAGAGCCTGYGCTGTTTAGTCCATGTCTGAGTCCAGGCTGCTTTAGAGCCCAGCCCCCACACATAGCGCTAAGATAGTAAGGGCCACGGCAAAAATGCAATTTGAGATTGGAACATTTTGTAAAACAAGTCACAGAACCAGAATCACAGACCATCCTGAGCTGGGAGAGAATCTCAAGGGTCATTGAAGTTCAACTCCTGGCCCTGCCCACAACACCCCAAGAATTACACCTTGTTCCTGAGAGCATTGACCAAACTCTTCTTGAACTCTGTTGGTCTTGGTGTTGTGCCCACTTCCCTGGGAGCCTCTTCCAGTGCCCAACCACCCTCTGGATGAAGAACTTTTTTCTAAAATCCAGCCTGAACTTTTCCTGATACAACTCCAGGTCATTCCCCTGGGTCCTGTCACTGGACACCACAGAGAAGAGATCAGTGTGTGCCCCTCCTCTTTCCCTCATGAGGAAGTTGTGACTACAATGAGGTCTCACTTCAGTCTCCTCTTTTCCAGGATGAACAGACCAAGTGACCTCAGCCATTCCTCGTGCAGCCTCCCACCAAGGCCCTTCTCCTCTGTCTTTGCCCTCCTTTGGATATTCTCTAATAGTGTCTGTAGAAATTAATTCCCTTCCCTTCCCTTCCCGACTGTAAATTACTATATTGTTACATTATGCACACTAAAAGAAGTGATATAATCATGATAAGCAGGTAAAAAATCGGTAGGAAAAACCCCAATTTCTTCCAATTCTTTAACTCTTCCCAGTTTTCTGTCTCAAAATACAGTTTTTTTCTTAACTATTATATTTATTATATTTGTCAAGTCCAACAAATATGACAGCAGATATTTATGAAAGCTCAGGGAAATGTCACCAAGATTGAGAAATTGCAGAGGAATCGTGGCTACCAATGTTTCCAGCTGTGTGTATATCTGTTATTCAAATTGCAACCATGCTATGTGCTTTCCAGCATGTCACTGACTGTTTCTTGGAATAACTATGTCTAGAGCACACAAGGGAAAATGGTAAGTCAACACCTCTGACAGAATGTGTGATTTTCAGTACCAATAAGCAAATCTCCGTCATGTTTAACTAGTTTGGTAGTAAAAAGAGTGAAACCATAACATGGATTTTCAGCACAACCTATTCAAGCCCGGGGGAAATATGAATGCTTATTTGTGCATAGTTTGTGCAGCCATCAAGCTATATATAAATTAGCCCTGCTACGCCTAAATAGGATCCAATCCAASAGTGTTATGGGTAAACCTAAAATGCTGTGTAGCTAAGTTAGCTCTGGGAGTAATCAAAACCACTGAAGTGAGCTGACTGCAGTGTCATTTCAGATGAATTTTATGAAAATGATCATGTTAAATGTTCACACTGATATTGGCTTAAAAAGTTGACTGAGAAAGTTMGTTTAAAACATTCTAAAACCCAATAACATGGAATTTCTCATTAAAATCATCTGCTGTTTGGAATTATTAGAGGATAATAACTGCTGTAGCTGTATTTTTGAATGATACTGGAGTTGATTGGAAGAATCCTGAGTTTTTTGTTAGACAGTAAATTGATTCAATACCATATAATTTTGAAAAATGAGAAKAGGAGGCTAGGAAGACCCATAGAGATTAATCAAAACATAATAGAAGAATCAAATTTACAAACGATGTTCAGCATTTTAAACTGATGGAATGACAAAGCTGTAAGTTACAATCTTGGGCACAATGAAGAACTGGTGGCTTTGAAGCATGACCTAGTCTGAACCACTGAAAACTTCAGAGAAGTTAAATACATATTATGGATCATGAATAATCTTTTCATTTCCTCTTCATGTATAATGAAAAGTACAGCCTTGATCACATTTATAATCTACTCATTTCATCTTCAAGACTTACATGAGTATAACTCAATTCAAGTATTTTTCCAAGTGAAACATTCCTAAAAAATCCCCAAAATAAAATCAAATCAATACTAGCACCGCATCTCACTGTGTAAATMATTTTTCTTAGGTTATAAAGTTAAGAACTTTTTAAAAAGGGAAATTAACAATGAGATGCCCCATGTAGTTAATCCCTTTTTGACACCTGGGTCAATATTATTATATCCCTCTGTACTTGCTTTGCTAATTTAAATGAGTAAGGTTTACCAGTTTTCTCTCATTAAGCTTCTTTAGCATGCAGTTGATGAGTATTTCACAACAAATTTTTAATCCTTGCATTGATTCTATTAAGAGACAGGACAACTAATTTAATTTACCAGTCATTTCTTCAAACTGCTACTTTCTAAATTTATGAATCTAACCAATGGCTCCTAACATATTTTGGGATTTCTACATGACAGGATTCATCTAAATATAGAGGAGCATATTTTAAATGGTTAAATTTAGGACATAAAATTTTCCATTATACCTTTTTTTTATTGAAAATAGTCAGGATAAAATAATCAGTTTTTCTTTAGCTGATAAGTGAGGTTGATAAAAGAATGTTATTTACAAAGTATAAATATAGCCAATTTTAACTCAGGTACATAGGATTATAGCATGACTAAACATGCTGTCTATTGAACAGCTCTT